AAAAGAGAGCAGAACAGGCCACCCCAAAATGTTCCAATTGGCATGTGGATTAATTTTAGTTGAAGGTAATCAAGTTCCAATAGATTCAGGAGAAACTTTTTACCTCCCCCAGAACTGCTAAAAGAATTTAGAAAGGGGGCCTGTACCAGGAAGAGAGCTCTTACCAGAGATGACATTTTTATAGAAGAGACTAATCTGTGTGGCAGGGCAAACATCTGTTTACCAAACATCTGTTCTTCTCGTCTTCCTGTGAATCCTCTTCCTTCCCTTTGAAACTCCAGCGTCAGCCCTTACCCTTAGCTCAGGATGGTATATGAGCCTCCTTGCTTGACTACTGGGAGTCTCATATTTTTATGGGGCTCCCATATGTACAAAATTAAACTTGTTTTCTTCCTGTTCATCTGTCTCGTGTTCACTTAATCACTAGACCAGCCGAAGAACCTAGAAGGGAAGAAGGGACAGTTTTTCCACCCCTACAATCTGAAGCCTTGTTTCTCTGAAGTAATCACTATTCATAATTTTAGGTAGCACAAAAAGAGTAAAAGTTTAATATTAGGCATCCGTTTTCTTGAAAAAGAAAATCCTTTAGCATTTTTCACTCCTGGGAATCTCTTCCTATATTCCCCTGGGAATCTCTCCCTACTCATGTGTAGTCCCAGCCTCAATCTCTCCCCATCGTGCTGGGTCTCCTTGCCCTCTGTCTCCACATCTTTCCCCTGCTCTCAGGACAATGCTCTCATTTTCATCGGTGAGGTCATTTGGTTCTCTGTCTCTCCCTCTTCTTTGTAGATTTTTCCCAGAGTCCTAACTTTTTACTACCAAAACATCTAACTGATGTTTACTAAACAAACAAACAAACAAACAAACAGTTATTTTTCTAGATTTAATCTGCTCTCCTTCCCTGAACCTACTCATGTCTTAAAGAGATAAAACATGGTACCAGTCCTCAAAGAACTTACAGTTTAGTAATAAGGATAGGTGTAAAAAAAATCTCAACAGGATGTACTAGGTGTAAAAAAAGAAATGTAGTTGAAACCAGTTTGGCTCAGTGGATAGAGCATCAGCCTGCAGACTGAAGGGTCCCAGATTGGATTCCAGTCAAAGGCATATACCTTGGTTTCAGGCACATCCCCTGTGTGTGTGTGTGGGAGAGGGGGGGTGTGCAGGAGGCGGCTGATCGATGTTTCTCTCTCATCGATGTTTCTAGCTCTTTATCCCTCTCCCTTCCTCTCTATAGAAAATCAAAGATAGACTTGGTGGAGGATACTCCCCTTATTAGTTGGAATAATAATGATGATGATGGTGATGATGATGATGATGGTGATGATGATGATGATGAGCAGCTAGGGTTGAGCACTGTGTTCGTGTCAGGCCCCATGCCAGGTCTTTTAGATGCAGAGTTTGGCAGAGGAACTCTCAGATGACAAGTGTTAGTACATGTCAGCAGTTATTTTCTTCTCAACGTGCTTGGAGGTGGGTATTACTTTCTCTGTTTTTCAAAGGACAAAGCTGAGCGGGAAAGGCTAAGTAACTTGCCCTGCTGGAGCCAGGATGGCAATCCAGGCTCGAATCCAAATTCAGACCCAGCCAATGCTTCTGTGGGCCCTCCTTCCCTTCCCAAAGTCAAGTGGCTTAAGCCCTTGGATTCCCAGAATTGTGCCAGCCTTCTCAGCTTTGGGGCCTCAGGTAACCCCTCTGTCATTCTGGGCACCCTGCCTTCTGAGAGGCAGACACAATGGCTTGTTTGTATGAATGTTAAGTTGAATCATATGAAACATTATAGGACTTAAAGAAATGCAATTTCATATGGTTCAACCCAATAGAAGGAAGCAGATGAATGTTGGGTGACTTTGCTTCCCTGGCTCTGTTCTCCTACGAGAAGCAGGACTTTCAGACAATTCCATGCCTTCTTGCCAGAGGATTTAGATCAAGAGATAGACAGAAGAAACAGACACTTTGGCTTTTCTTCCAGGGAGCCAGACCCAATGCATCAGCATGAAGCAGCTTATTCAAGCTCCTCTCTTGGCTTTGGTTCTGGTGGCTCCAAAAGCTATGTCATCTGTCATGAATCCAATCCAATAAAACATTCTGCTCTCCTCCTTCTTGCAGTCCTAACACAGCATCCAGACCCAAGGATAGCGTCAAATGCTCTAAAATTCTCTTTACCAAGTAGCCTAAAAGCTCCTGAGGTCAGCAGGGTTTCCTACATGCTCAGAGTGGGTTTCTAGAGAAAATGAAAGTATTGGCCTGTGGAGGAATTTTCCTGGTGTGAACCATAAACTCCCATATCCTGCTTTTGGCCAGAGGTGGACTTCCCCATAGTTGGTCAGATATTCCCCTAGTGGCCTCAAAGACAAAACCAAAAATTGTTTTATCTTCTGTTTCCCTCCATATACCATTCCTTCTCTTCACCTTCTCAGTCATCTTCTTGAGTAAGTTGATTATAATGTCTCTTCTTCTTCACTTCTTGTTCAATGTACCACCTATGGGGAGTTGACTTCTCTATCTGCCTCTGTATTAAAGGTGTTCTTGCCTGTCAATACTTACCTCTGGGTTGCTACAACCAAGAGACTCTTCTTTTTCTTATGTTACCTGAGCTCTAGGTAGAGTTGTCCATCACACTTTTTCTTATGTTACCTGAGCTCTAGGTAGTAGTTATCCATCACACTCTTATTTTTGAAACAAGCTTCCCCCAAACTCTTCTACTTTCCTTTCACCTTTGCTGACTTTTGTTCCTTCACACATTCCTTAAGTGTTGTCTGCTCTTCTCACTCTACATTCTCTCCAAGGATTAAACTTAACATGCCCTTGGCATCCACCCATGGCTGCCCTAGGTGTTGACTTCTAATATACTACTTGCAGCTCACATGTCCCTTTTGATCTTTAGTCCACATTCCAACCCATTTGTGGGACATCTCCCTTCTGCTAGATCAAGGCCCTCACACTCAATATGACACCAGAATCTTTCCCATCCCAATCAGTTATGACCCATAAATATGGTGGCAATGTCCACTGGCTGCCCAAACTAGAACCCTGAGGGAATCCTTGACTTTTTTTTATTCTCTGTAACCAATAAATTCTCAAATCCTATAATTCTGTCTCCTAAATCTCTTTCAGAGTCATGTTTTTCAGGTTCACCACCTCTTCATTAAGTGGACTTTGTTCTTTCTTGTCCTTCATCAGTCCATTCTTCAGAATAGAACATGGGTGATCTTTCTCTTCAATGGATTCTCATTATCCTTGGGATAAAGTCATAACTCCCACACTGGGCTGATAAAGCCTTACATGATTTAGTCAGTTCTTACTTTTTGCCTCTCACTGCATTCATTAGCCATCCTGAATGCTCCTGAGTACTTTTACCGCCTAGATTTCACATGTATTATTTTCCTCTTCTCTGTAGCTCATTGTCCCAGCTACTATCTCCCCCTGAAAACGAATAAACATGGAGTCATTCACAAAATCAGGCACTTGTAGAGATTGATAAGAAGCCCCAATATAAGGATATGAGGAAGAAAAAAATACATGATAGTAGTTAAGGAAAAGCAGGGAATCTGGAAGGATTCTGACGTGGATTCAAATACCAGCTTTTTCCCTGACCTGGACTAAGATGTCTCACCACAATCTCTACTGAAAATCATCCTTCCTTCCTTCCTTCCTTCCTTCCTTCCTTCCTTCCTTCCTTCCTTCCTTCCTTCCTTCCTTCCTTCCTTCTTTCCTTCCTTCCTTCCTTTTCCTGTGTGTGTGTGTGTGTGTGTGTGTGTGTGTGTGTGTGTGGTTTTCCAACTTTCTTCTCTATAGGATTTTGAGTGTCTCATCAACATTTGAACTTATGGATGAGAGAACACAGCTTACTCTTAAGAACTTAATTAGTTTTCCGGTTGCTGATCTTCTAAAAGAGAGAGTTATCAACCATCCTATTTTTTTTTTTTTTAATCAGAACTTGAAAAACAAGATTTGAGGAAGGTTTTTTCTTAACAGGTTCTTGTTCAAGCGGCACTTGGAAAGATTTAATTATTTTAGGTTAATAAAGAGAACAAGATAAAGCAATTTGGTTTTTCCAGGATGCATAATCACTACACATATTGGTCAGGAAGAAAATCATAGCTGAGTTTCTTGTCCAACAGTTGTGTCTGTGTATATGTGTGTGTTACCCTGGGGTGCAGGGGAAAGGCAGTATTAGTTCCAATCCTTTCAAAAGCATGAATTTTCTATTATTGAAATCTGTGGGTTGTTATTCTTTTCTGTAGAATTCATAAATAAAATAAGTAGAAGTAATCTTTGAAGTGGAGTCTTTTATGAACAATTTAAATCAAGAATACTGGGTGTAGCCCTAGCCAGTTTGGTTCAGTGGATAGTGTCAGCCTGCAGACCAAAGAATCCCAGGTTTGATTCCAGTCAAAAGCACTTACCTTGGTTGCAGGCTCCTCCCCAGCCTGGGCCCTGGTCCGGTGAGTGTAGGAGACAACCAATTGATGTGTTTCTCTCACATTGATGTTTCTGTCTGTCTTTCCCTTTCTTTTCCACTCTCTCAAAAATCAGTGGGAAAATATCTTTGGGTGAGGAAAGAAAGAAAGAAAGAAAGAAAGAAGAAAGAAAGAAAGAAAGAAAGACAGACAGACGACAACTGGATATAGCTAGAAGTATCTGGAGCCTGGACACTAATTCTGAAATCTAGACAAGTTTTTCCCCCCCTCTAATTATTCCTTCCTTCCTTTTCTTCCTCCTTCTCCTTTTTCTTTGCTATTGTTTATTGGGTGCTTACCTTTCATCAGACAATTTTCTAAATGTTTTATGTACATTTTCTTGTTTAATTTTCACACAATATTATGAGAGAAGTATGACTGTTATCTTCCCTGATAAACAGGGAAATTCAGATTAAGCAACTTGCTTGAGACCAAGCAGAGGGAAAGGTAAAGCCTGAACTCAACCCTAGGTCTCTGGTTCCAGACCTTGACTTCTCAACTCTTCCTCACTAAACTTTTTCTGTTCTTTGTCTCCAGGGACAGGATGAGAACATCCGTCAATGTTGTGGGTGACTCTTTTGGAGCTGGGATTGTCTATCACCTCTCCAAATCTGAGCTGGATACCATTGACTCCCAGCACCGAGCGCATGAAGACATTGAAATGACCAAGACTCAGTCCATTTATGACGACATGAAGAACCATAGGGAAAGCAACTCTAACCAATGTGTCTATGCTGCACACAACTCTGTCATAGTAGATGAGTGCAAGGTACCTTTCCCATTCATGGATATCGAGACCTGTATATGATAGTGCATGCTTGATTTCTTAAAATGAACACCAAAGCCCTGCATGTATTATTGTCACATTTATTTTTCTAAAGAATCATGTAACCCAAGCTTCTGTGAGTCCCAGATCATCTAACTTTGTGTCTAACATGGCTGGAAATCAACAGGTCTAACAGTGAAAGAGCCAATCAGTTGCTTCTCTCGTCTACATGATGTACAAACTCTCATTCTGATTCACACACCCAACCAAATTTGATTGTTTTTCTTGAATATTTTGCCCAAGGATTTGTGGTCTCTGGGGTTTTGCTGGCTTTCAACTTTTCTATTCCTCAAGTGAAGCACCAAGTGAAATACCCAGAGTCATTTGGGTATTTATATAGCACAAGTTTTCCTCCCTGCTTTGAATCATGTATTGGTCAAAAGCGTGCCCACATAACTGTGCAGCTGCTTTCAGTTAATTATTTTGGTGGGAATCTGAGTTGTGACCTGGCAGTCACTTTGCTCCAAGTGTGGGGAATTTTTCAAGTAAAGGATAACTATCCTTCCGGATGATCATCCATAGATGTCTTCCAAAAACCACTACATTTCACACACTGCCTGGCAGCACCCTCTTTCCTGAAGCAAGGATGTTCTGGACTCTCCTAAGCCGTTGGGCGCTAAGTCTTCAAGCTCGATAGGCTCTTTCTAGTCTTCATTGTAACTAACTTGACATTGTCAAAGGCAGTGTCATGACCAGAGTGAAGCAAACTTGGAGAAACCCAGGCAGGTGAGCAGAGTCAACTCTGGGGATTTGGTTGCTAAAATGGTTCCACGTAGTATTTGAGGAAAATTTGAACCCGACAAGTTTTTCTGATACCTTTTTTATTCCTGTTGGCGAGATCTCATTTAATAGTTGATTTCTTTATGTGTTACTTTTGGATCATTCTAAATATACATGATGGTTTCTGCCAGACCACTTAGGATGACACAGAAGTAACCCTCTCTACTGGGCTGCAATATAGGTCCAGAAGTCTAATGGACCAGCCATAGCCTTTTGCTCCTCCTTTCTATATCAGGTCCATATGTGGGTGAACCAGGGTTCTGATACAAATTAGGGACCCCACCCACCAGGAGGCAATTGCATAAATTAATTGACTCCTAGAAAACGACTTAAATTATTAGTAATTCAGATGTATCTAAAGAATATACTCCATTTTCCTAAAAAATTAGTATTTCATATGTCTAAATAAATGTGCTGGATTATTTCCCATTAAAATGTTGGTTTGGGTCAACAAGGATCAACATTCCCAAGGAATGGCTTTATGCTCCATTATATTCAATAAGTATTTATTGTGTGCCTTGTAAGGTTTAGTTGAGCAACCCCATCTCATTCCTATGACCATATATATTTTTATCACATTCATCAAGTGTTTATCGAGTGGCCATTATCTGCAAAGCCTTGAATTAGGCATGGGAGAACAGGAAAATGAATGTACGATTTTGAAGTGGTGGTTAAGTTTTGATCTCAAATTACATACAAGGAAACATAGTAGCATGGAAAAAAATGAAATCAGATATTTCCTAATTTTTCAATTATGTATAAGAAGACTCCTAGTGGTTAACTGTCTATGCTGTGACCTTTATTGGGGCATTATAAGAGACTTAGCAATATTGTATAGGATATGTATTGAAGAAGGTATGTAGGCATGGAGATATCCTTAGATTTCAGACTTCCTATATATTTTTTCCCCTTAAAGAATATCAAGTACATCAGGAAAATTTTGCTTCATTTTTTTTTTAAGCAAAACAATTCAAGTTCTAAAAGGAGATGTAGGTCAATTGTCTCTGTCAGTCGGACGTAAGCCCATGAGGAGAGGAACTGTGTCCCCATATGTCAGTACTGTGTTCTAGCACCTAAAGCAGTGCCAAGCTTGCAGTAGGCGCTCTAGAAATATTTGTTGAATATAGCCTTTTAGCATCTTGGCCTATACTTTAATTCAGGTAAACTCTTTTTGCTGGACAATTCCATAGAGATAGTGACTCAGTCTCCATAAACCAGCCAACCACCTGCAAATTTGTTGTTGAATTAGCATTTAGATTAGGGATGGGGAATGTCCAGCCTGTGGACTATACAAGGCCCAAGAAATCATTTGGTTTGTCACTGCCAAGGCATTAGGGGTGAGTTAATTAAATGACCAAATGTAGCAGGATAATTTTTTTTTAATCATATATGAGCATTTATTCCAATACTGCCAGCAGTTCATCCACAAAAAAATCTAGCAGGTTAATTTTTAAGTTGATAATTTTATATTGCCTGCGAATGATGTTATAAATATCCAAATGGATCTTGGCAGATTTAGATGGTCATGTAGTGAACCTGAGCATATCATGGAAAGGAAGCAGGGGCCATATTGCTTTAATGGCTATTTCGGCAGTTTGGATTTTTTAGTGATGAGATTGGGTTCAGCTCAGTGAAGGTTAGTTGGTCCTCTGGTGTTGCTAGGTGAGGCAAATTGACTCTCCTCGCTCTCTAGACCAACTAACTGAGTTGACACTGATGTGGGAGGCAGCCAGATCTATGGAGATGAATCAGCACACTTTCCCAGAATATCTGAATCACATTGATTCATGCCTTTGAATTTCCTTCTGGTCGATCCTACGTCTCACTCTTTTAAAAACTGAGATGGGAGAATTCAATGCTCACTGGCAGTTCCCTCCCTGTGTTTGCTTTCCTGTTACTCGGGTATTTGGAGCTGAAGGGGTGCAATGGATGAGGGAGTGGAGTTGCAGAATGCTTTAACCCAGCCAGACAGGGAAATGGCCAAAAAGCTGCTTTCCCAGCTACTTTTCAAACCCAGGCCCCAGCATCAAAACAACAACAACAACAGGGCCTTCCCCTGACCCCGACCACCCCCATTTCCAAAGGCACCACACCGTGTTTGAGAGTTTTGCTCAGCTACGGATCTGGTTCCTCACTGAAAGCCAAATAGGCACATCCAAGATCAGGGCGAATGGGCAGCTTTCTCCAGGCAGACTGCTCCTTCCCGGCAGTCTCTCCTGACCGTTCACTGAAGGGGAAGCCACTTTGCTGCAGCTCTGGTCAAACTTTAACCACATCAAGCATCGTTACGTCACCTTGGTCTCTCTTGTTTACACTCGCCTTGTGCAGAGTTTGAAAGTGACGCAATAGCTTTTGTATTTTAATCATAGTAACTGCACGGGAGACAGTCTTGGCTGCTTGCATGTGGGGGCCTCATGGGGACTGGAAGAATGACTCCTTTTTATTATCACTCGTTTGGTTGGTGCGGGGCACTGGGTTTTCTGTTCCCAGCATGCTGTGTGTGTCCATGACGCATGCGTTTCGCTTCCACGCGGGGAGGATGGTCAGATTTCTTTCAAACATTGCTGCGTTTGTCATGTCTCCATGTTCTAATGCTTCCATAAATCCAGTCTCTCCATTATGTGGAATATCAGTCGTGGGTTTAAGTTTGCACATGACCTTGAGGACAGACAGATGGAAGGTAAGCTAGGAAAAATGTAGACGTGGAGGGGAAAACCTCCCGTTCTGTGGAAGGGTTCAGTTTGCTCAGAGCCAGGGGAAGAGAATACAGTCTGCTGATTGCATTTTATTAGTAAACGGCCTCAGGCTCATTTAATACCCCCTTTTCATTTTTTATTTTTTAAAGCTCGCATAGCTTATTTGCTATCCAGACCATCGTGCCTTCTGGTGTTAAAATTGGACATGTGTCAAATTCACCTGGCCTTCTTGCAACTGAACCTTTCACGTGCATGAGTAGAGCTAGCTGCCTAGTTCTGGATTTTTTTTCCTCTGTGGTTGTATGGAGTAGCACATGGGCACTATGGTTTAAGGACTGCGTTCCTGGGTGATGGGTCTATAAGTAGTTAGATACCCCCACAACCCTAAAAGCATAGTAGAAGTGATCCCCCAAATCGCCTAGTGTCTCCAGTCCCTCGATCAGTGCCCCCAAGGCAAATAAGTATTTTTTAATGTTCACAAATCAGTGTTGAGACTCAAGACCAGCTCAGAATCTGGTTGGAAGGGACACTATTTAATACCGATATCCAAGTCATGTGGTCTAAGCCGGATTGGGTGCTCCTCCACGTAACCCACGGGGTGGTTCTTTGGTCCATGGCCTGTAAGCTGCATGTTGATGATGATTATTTTCAGGTGACTCTGGCAGCCAACGGGAAGTCAGCAGATGGCAGTGTTGAGGAAGAACCTTGGAAACGTGAAAAATAAGGATGTGACTCTCAGCAAAATTCTTGAATAAACTCCCCAGTGTATCTCATGGTAAAAGAGGATATAAACAAGCTTTCTTTAAAAAAAGAAAAAAAAAACACACCTATATTTCTATGTTTACTTAATCTATTTAGCCAAGGCTTAGAGGACCTGTTGTGAGTCAGTGATAGGCATGGTGCTGTGTCTTTGCCAAATAATGCTTTGTAACCGTCTAATGTTCTCGCGTGTGTTACTGTCGGAATGGATGCTGCTGGAGGAACCGTTTGAATTGAAGACACATCCTTGCCAGCTTCCCTTTTCTCTCAAGATGCAGGACCATGGATGCTCTTTTCCCAGGGGACGAGACTCGAGCTGTGTGGTACACTCCAGGGACTCGGGGTAACGAGCAGACACACCGTGTGTTGCTTCTCCAAGTATTCTCCATGCTTCACCTTGTTATGCACAAGAGAGTCTGTTAGGAGCCTCTAGAAGTAATTCTCCTTCCGTGTCTTGCAGGGTTTGCCTGTGTGTTGATAAAAGCAAGTACTTGTCTTAGGGAACTGTGACCATTTGTCTTCTGTCTGCTCTTTTAGCTCAGTGTTTCAGAGAGCATGGCTGTGGGAGTGGATCTGTGGAAGGCAGCTGGTTGTGGAGCTCTGTGAGCCTCTGCTCTGTCCCACCTAGTCTGTGGACATGCATTATTGAACCTTCAGAGTATGTGGCATCATTTGCTCTAAATGTGATAATATTAAATGGGTTAGAGTGTAATTTGCATAGAACTGCTGTATATATTGACAAAAGGAAGAGAGCACAGTCAACATACGTGTTAATTAGATTCAAATATTCAAATCTGTTGGCCTTTGGTTTGCATTCATCTTGACAGCATGAAATCAAGTGAGATCATATGATCTCTGCTTCACTTTCTTTGTTTTACCCATAAAATTCTCGTTTGGATTTCTATCAAGACTTTTTTTTTTTAATCTCTAAATTATTTCAGTCATGTTCTCAGTAAACCAGAAGGCCTAATCCTTTCTGTTCTTCTTACACATGGAAGACAGTTGTGTTGCCTGTGCCTCTTTTAATACTATCTCTTGATAAAAACAAAAAACTGTCATTTATCTAATATGTAGAAAGCTTTTGTTGTATTATATCAAAGCACATAAATCCAATTACAGGACACATTGGAAGCAAAGCCAACCTTCCTCCCCGGTTTTCTCTGTCGAAAAGAACAGGAAACAACATGTGTGCAAAGTCCTTAAAAGGTGCCATTCCTATGGCCAAGTCAAGGCAGCCTTGAATCATGAAATGGGAACAACACAGGTGGGACCTTTTCAAGGCTGTTGCAGTTTGGGGGAATAATATAATAGGAGCAGCACAGTGCCTTGCATGCTGTTGACACCCAATGAATCCTGAATGATTATGTAGGTTACATTTGTCAGTATCTCTGTTATCATTTCCTAGTGAATAACCCACAGTATTTTTCTAAAGTTTCTGGCTTTGGGAGTTTGCAGAGGACTTGAACATGAATCACTGAGAAATAAAGCACATTGGAAGGAGTGTGTAGATCTTTGGTTCACATGTGGGAGGCAGGTGGTCTTCTGAGGCCAGCAGATGGATGGTGAGATGTTGATGAATTGTGATAGGGTCTAAATTCTCTAAAGAGAGCATGCTTATGGACACCACATCCCCTTTATTACCTAGTCCTTGTGACTTTTCTCTTCCAAATCAGACACCTTTGGGACATCCAAAATACCCGAGGTTTCAATTATTTTTGTCTCTTAGCCCCTTGTTATTTTTGGATAAGGATCATTATTGCGCAGTATTAAGCAGATTTTGCTCTTTAAAAATGGCCTTGGTCTTCATGTTCAATAGGTGGACAGTGAGCAGGGTGGCCCAGGATGTGCTGAAATGCAGCTGTGGGAAATGTATCCCTTACAGCAGACACTGTGGGTCAGGGGGATAGTTCCTGGGTGCAGCTGTGAAACTGATAAATGTTGTCTATAAGTGGGACTTATGGTGAGGAGAAGGATATGGGCAAGGCACCTAGGAGCTTGCGGTTTTGCTACTTAAGGCCAGCTTAGCACACATGTACTGGCTGACATATTTCTGGATAGAGCAATCTCAGGATTATCTTCCCAAGGCGATGCCTAGATGTGTTCTCTGTTTGCTTTGTCTTCAGCGTTTTCTCGTTACCCAGTGAGATCATAAATGTATAAGTGCACAGTTTAACAAAGCAGGTATTTCTGGTTTGAGACTCTATGCAGTAGAATAGTTCCATGAAAATACATGTAGGATCATATTTATCTAGATTCAACAAATTATATTAAAAATTAATACTTTTTCAAATTCAAGACAAGCCTATAAATCCAGGATGTAGATAGAGCTGACATATGACTGTGTCCTTTGATTTTTTTAGGCCCCATTCATTCTTCTCATACTGTGCCCATTAGGGTTTTCCTTGCCCAGTATATGTGCCATAAACAGAACAAATAGATCCAGAATATACCTCTAACAACCTTTTCTAAATAGGATATGTATGATCTGCCAGTGATATACATAGATTTATATAATAGCTCCAACACAGATATAAATGCTTATCACCCACTAATATTTGATGATGCATAAATGTTATATTTATATGATAGGCCAGATGCATACACCACATCCTATAAGGTCTGTTTTGTATTTTGTTGTTGTTTTTGTCACAGACTCATTCACTCTTTTTAGGAATCAGAATTGTTTCAGGAGAAAACTGAGCAGACTTTGATCCTTCCCTATCTCATTTTTGCCCATTGGTAGACCCAAAAGGAATCATCATTAGATCAACTACTTACAATTCGGTGAATCCAATCCAATCCAATCAGTGAGAAAAAAAATGGCTTCTCTCTCAAGGTGAGGCTTTATGTGAGGTCTTTGAGGCTGTGCATCCCATGCAAAGGGCATCAGACCTTTAGGGCAATCACCTTGGTCACACAGATCCTCAATACAGGACATCAGGGAGGATATCTGAACAAGGTAGCTATCAGATTCAATTCCCTACTTGCTATTAGGTGTGGGAACATAGCCTATAGTTTCATTTCCTGGGGAAGTCACCATGTCTCCTAAAAGATATGTACTTCTGTTCTCCAACTACTCGTTAGACTGGTTGTTTATGAAACCTAAAGCAAGGATGCCAAGATGCCCAGCTCCTGGGTTTAGGCTGGAAGCTGAGAAAGGCTTAGGGGAAATTCAGTTCTCGGGGAGATAGAGTCCTGATAGACAATGCCAGGAACCGCACCACTGAGTGATTAGAGGGTGTCAGGTCCTTTCCAGTTGTGCATGGAGAAGTATGTCATTTTCATGTGTGTTGAAAGTCAAGAAGCCCTTCCGGAGTTGGGTAACTCATCTACTGGGTCCCCAAAAAGGAAACCCAACCCTGCCATGCTTTTGCAATGCCACACTTCCTTACATTCTCAACAGCAAAGGTTATGGTACGATATTTCACTTTTGTCAGAGTCAATGCTTCTTTTCCCATGAATGCAGCAGTCAACCCAAATAGGAACGCACATGCTCAGAGAGACTTCCCTGTAGTTCAGACTCTTGCTGGACAAGTCTCAGCAGCTCTTGCCTGGTTCCATGGCAAAAGTGCTCAGCAGTTACACCCAGCGGAGGCAGTAGCTCTTCCCACTTCACTGCTCTCAAACTCTTGGGGCCATGCACTTGTCGGCTTTGCTTATTCTCCAACTGAACGCATTCCAAGCCAATAAAAAGGGCCAAATGGGAATTTTCAGTTATTGCAATAACTTGTTCCTTGAATAAGAAGAGTAAGACCTAGGAAGATTACGTTTAAGCTAAGAGCCTGAAGTAATTCTGAAGTGAGAGTTTTGCAATTCTAGTTGTCAGAGGAGATTAGTGGTCTCTGTGTCTGTGGTAACTTCTGGCTAAAATCTAGAAGAAAGGCTACTGAGTGCCAAGCCCAGCAGGTGACATTATCGGCAGGCTGTTCTTGAATGGAGTGAATTCAAAGCTGCCTATGATTTTCCCCCTAAAAAAAAACAATTCTTTACTCTTTCTCCTCCTTTCTTCTTATTCCACCTATCATTATTACTGCATAAGGGACAATTGTAAACAACCAAGGGTTGGCGTTAGAATAAGATGATGTAATCTTAATTGAATAGTATCTGATTGTACAGCATAACACAGCTAATTCAGATAGTAACAGAGATGGGTAGAGGAAACATGTGACTTACACTGCCAGTTGTCAGCTGTATAACTTACTCAAGTCACTTAATGCCCAAGCCTCATTCCTTCCCATATGTAAAGAGAAGGGGTTGGATTAAATTATTAAAACCCCCTCTCAGCCTTAAGAATCCATGATATTATGATCTCTGCTCTAATATTTCTTTCCTAAGAAGTTTCCTACTATAAAATATGATTTTATATTTTAAGTCAGAGGGACCCACAATAATTTCTAATCAATTTGCATTATTCCCGTCCCCTTTGGGGGAAGCCTCTCTCCTTATTTGGTGATTACAAGCTTGGAAGATGGTCATGTTAATCGACCATGTGGTGTTTTGAGACACAGACACAATTCTGTAAAACTGCTCTTTGCTTACACTCACTGTCCCAGTTGAAGTAGCGATTCAGCTCAGGGAAAATGCTGCCAGAGTCACCATGAGGGGACTGGACATGTCTATAGCCTCACTCAAGCTCTTGCATCATTCCTGCTGTAGCAACAGGGCCCACTTCTAACACCCAAAGCACAGTTCTCTCCAGACAGTCCTAGTCACATGCAGGAGCCTTTGGCAAATCAACCTGAACAGTCTTATGAAATTTGGTGCAAGACTTGCACAATAACAGCCTCTGTCTGTAAACACCTTCTCTCTCCTCCTGTAGGCGGACGTGCACACCCATGCAAGGTGAGCCTGGGCAAGACCTTTCTCTGCAGAGAGATACAGGGCCATTTGAGGGAGTTCATTTTCCATTTCTCCTCTTGGTTTGCATCACATCGCAGGTAGAGAAGCTCTGTCCAACAAGAATGGAGTTGTGCTGGCTATCACCCCTCTTCAGTGCCCGAGGAGTTTCTGGGATTGCTAGACAGCATGGTCTGTCTGCAGGGTGCATGCTGACATGACCTTTGAACAGCCTTGTTGCACTTTTTGCTCCTGCTGCAATGGGCTACTGCTTGCATCCTTGCTTTTTGTCCAAACTTTAGCTAGCCGTGGAATGGGTTTAGTATTTATTGTGTTGTGAGCACCTTTACCACCAGGGCAGACTTCCACTCTTTAGATTTGGGGGAAACCAGATGTAAAACCAGGAATAAAAGGATTGAGTTTGCTTTTTAATTCTTAGTGCAGAAGACCTGATGCAAGAGCAGCAAGAAAGACTATTTCTTAATTGACCCAAATATGCATCTATGGAAAAGTAAGAGAAGCCCCACATTCTTATTTCAGTCTTTCTAAATAATATTCTGAATAATGACCTATCATTTTTCCACTATGTCCAGCCTTGCTCCACCTTCCTACCTGCAGACCAAGTATCCATTTAGATATTTTTAAAAGTCCTTCTGCTTGTTATATGGGGCCCTTCTGTGCTGAGAATAAAACCTTCTGCTGGATCAGACTCCACTGCTTTGCAGAGTCAGCACTGGACCCAGAGCATGAGTAGCAACAAGTCCCCACCGCCTCTGGGGACACCCCAGGTCCTGGGTGAGTGTTGGAACATAATAGCCTACTGCTGCCCTTGTCATCATCCCCCATTGAGACAGGATGTGCAGTCAGAGCCTCACTCCTTCTGGGCTCCGTTTCTTCTCATGGCAACCACTTAGCCTGCCTCGAATAGCCTGTTGCCTTTGGTAGGAGAGAAATGCTCACACTAGCCAAGGAAGTTGGTCTAGCGAGTCTCAGGTTTCTCCCCAGGGAGGGAGTTCCCTGAGATGTATGATCAGAAAGCTGGCCCTCTGGTTGCCTGGTGCTCCGGGAGCATTCTATCCCTTGCCAGAAGCTCACCCTTCAGCATCCAGATCCTTCCACACACCCATTCTCCTTCCCCTGGTGAACCTCAGCATTGTATCTCCATGTTGCATAGCACAGACCAGATAATCTGGTCACTATAGAGATTTGTATATTTAAAAAAACACCTACTTTTGTGAGGATTTTTGTATGTTGTTTTTCTATTTGTTTTCTACAGCTTGAGGAGAGAGCTGGCAAACTGTGAATCTCATTTGACCTTGCTGCCAGCAGATATATTTTGGCTTCCTGAGAAGAATCTATGTTACCAGGGCCAACAGATTGCCCTCTGATCAGTATTGCACCCCACACTCTCAGATTCCTCCCGCCCAACCTTACATTCTTTTTTTTTTTTTTTTTTTTTTTTTTTTTTTTTTTTTTTTTTAACAAATCCCCGGGCTTCTTTGCTATTATTTATAAAGAGCAGGAGAACGTGTATTTATAGTGCTGAATATTATATGTTTAATGTTGATTTAGCCTTTAATAGTGTTCTAGGTTTGTATCTATTCTTCATATATCATACAGAACTCAGTGCGGACTGAATTCCTCTATTTAGTATCTGTAATTTTGCAGAAAGATATTTTCTTATGGTATTTTCTATATAGCCACATATGTAGAATTATAACCAATTATAACCAATTGCACAAGAAGTTTCTACAGCAATTTAGAGCTATCAGTTTGTTTCCTGAGCATACAGCCACATTTTAAAAATGTAAGGACCCAGTCCTTTGCGATGCAATGAACAGAGGAACCATAAAGAACAAGCGATCCCTTACATCCTAACTTAGCTGGTTAGGCTCTGCATCTTAACAATTAGTCTTCGTAACTCAAGAGATGGTGCTGGTTTCTTATTTTTGACACCAGGCCTTGTCTTGCCAGCTAAGCATTCTAATTGTACTTTTCTTTAAGAAGATGAAAAATAAGGTGATCATAGCGGTATCATGTCTATATCAGAATCTCCCATGCCTTCCTACTAATTTGTGTAAAAACTGGCTTGGGGAAATTTGCATAGAAGAGATTGAGGGTTAGTGCGAGGAAGCAAATCAGGACAAATTTGTTGCAGTTCATTCTTGCCAAGCAAACTGGTAATAAGTGTCAAAGTGTTATGTGAATTGAGCACATCACTTGGGAAAACAATGAAGCAATATTGGGGTTGTAAGTGGGAGCTTAAAGTTACACTGAAATTCTTTAGAAACAGCCCAGATAGATTCTGTCCTCAGGTGACTAACCATCTATGGAATTTCCCCCAAAAAAGCAAACCAGTAGCAACTTCAAAGGCAAGAAGAGTCTTCCTTCTGTCAAACACACTTTCTGATATGGTTGTAGGGCTAGTATTTTTGCCACGTTTTCGGAGATAGTCAGTTACATAGAAAGTGTACTGGGATATATTTGAACTTGCTCTTCATTAAGCAAACAGATTAGAAGTTCCCCTCAACTGGCAATGACTGTACCTGTGATTTTCAAGTACAGATAGCTGTCAAAGCATGAAGTTCTTGTGTGTACACAGCAACACTTGGTTCACGCATGAAGAACAGTGCCTATGCACTTGTGTAGCTATAATGTAGGTATCTTTGTGTAATTGCAGTGAGATGGTGCATAGATATTAACTTAATTTAAATGTTCATTTTGGCTGTTCAACTCAATGTAGTAGACTTGTTGATTGGTGTTTTGAAAACTCTTCTTTTCCTTCTTAGATGGCTAGTGGTGAATGATTTCTCCTTTCCCTTAATGTGATTTGGGGGTGTATATCTGTGAAGAATTTACCTGTGAATCCTTTGTACCGATGACTGTTTGAAAGTTTGTGTGCATCCAGCATCTTTGTTGATATGCAATTCAGATGCAATTAGATGTGGGCCATGATTCTTAGTGAAAGTTCGTCTGCCATCTGTCTGATACATAGCGAAAGCAACTGTGGAACTTTTGATTGTCTATACTTAGCTAGGTTTAGAATGAGGACATTGATCTGCAGCCCTCCTCTGCTTGGTGGGTTGGGCTCAGAGAGAAAAGCAAGTCTGCTTCTGTGCATGTTAGCATCATGTCCTTATGTTAAGGCCTGCCTCTCTGATTGCCACATGCTGATCATGATGCTCATGACTTCAAGGCTCAGAAGGGCCTTGTCTCCCTTGGTGTCTTGAGTCTGGACACAGGAAAGATATTTACTAACCAACTGCCATGCAAGCCAAACCTCACTGAAGCACAGTCCTGGCAGTAAACGCCTAGAGAAAGACCACTAGAAGCACAGAGGTGGGCAGTGTACAGATTTGGAGTTGCAGAAAGGCAACAGATAAAGCACAGATCCCACATATGTGAAGGGAGTACGAACTCTACTTATAGGCTTTGCGTGCATGTTTTGAGTGATTGAAGATGAGATGAACTAATGCAATGATACACTTGCTGCCTAAAACACGTATTCTGTGTAATTATCACTCCACATAATGCCTCGGGGTCTCTGGTTCCTGTGAGCCCTTCCTTCTCTGCGAGTTCAGAGAAGAATGGCCACATGAAGTTAGGAACACTGAGTGCTCCCCTCTTTCCACAAGAGGAGTGAAGCCTAAGAGATCCCCTGAGGGCACAGAACACATTAATTTTCAGTGGAGTGAAAGGTCTATAGATGGTATATAGCCATATTTTCCCTTGGAAATGTGGCTTCTACAACTCCTGTCCAATTCAAGGTAGAAACCATATTGAAAGAAAGCTAGCTTTTGGGCAGGATTCTCTCTCTGAAGATTCTTGTTTGTCCAGAATGAAAGATAAGAGTAATTGTTTCCCTCACATTCATAATCCCCATTATTAGTCTAAAGTCGTGTAGCATAGAGTATCGATTGCACATAGTGTTTAAAGACTAATGAATGAAAAAGAGGTAAAAACTTCAACTAATTTTTGGGGTTGTTTCTTATCTATGGTACTAGGAGATGCCTTTTTGGCAAAGCACATTTTGGGTAGTTTCAGGTCTTTCGTTTTCACCTTTAGTTTTCTAACAATGTGAACTGATTACTGTAACATTTCATGTGTAAAATAACTGGATATTCTTTGTATACTGGAAATAATCTGTGAATTCAAGATTTCACTAAGTGTTTTAACTTTTGTGTATATATTTCTCATCAATAAATGTGGATTTCAATTTCCCTTGGCTGTTGTCTTGCCTTCAATTCACATATTAAACTACTGTTGGTTTCCTAGTATGAGCCTCCGGTGTTCCTTTTGGAGAAATTTTAGGGTTGAAGACTGCAGTGTCCACATGAATATTTTCTAGGAAGCCTACATATAGACTGAAGTCACATGATCGAACACTAGGGAGTTGGACAAATATGGTATTTAATCAAAATGATCCCTGTTGGATCAGCCAGAATGGGTTGGTTGATCCTCGAATTTCAGCAATATAGAACAACTAGTCAGACCACATGGGTTATTTTTTAATCTTATTATTTTAACATCTCCTACATACAACAGGATATACGTAAAAATATATGTCTAAGTTATAATACCAGATGAAGTGGAAGCACACAAACCCATTACCCAGGGCAAGAATGAGAGCATAACCAATGGTTTCCCTTGACCTTTCGCACCTCCTTTATCTCATTCATCTGCTTTACTCCCCAGAGGAAAGTGCAGCTAGGAGTTTTGTGTTTATCATTCCCCTCCCTTAAAAAACAACAGTTTTGCCGAAACCAGTTTGGTTCAGTGGATAGAGCATCAGCCTGCAGACTGAAAGGTCCCAGGTTCGATTCTGGTCAAGGGTTTGTATCTTGGTAGCGGGCACATCCCCAGTAGGGGGTATGCAGGAGGCAGCTGATTGATATTTCTCTCTCATCGATGTTTTTAACTCTCTATCTCTTTCCTTTCCTCTCTGTAAAAAATCAATAAAATGTTTTTTAAAAAAACACAACAGTTTTTTTGTTTTGTTTTGTTTTTAATATATTTTATTGATTTTGTACAGAGAGGAAAGGAGAGAGATAGAGAGTTGGAAACATCGATGAGAGAGAGTCATCGATCAGCTCCCTCTTGCACACCCCCTACTGGGGATATGCCCGCAGCCAAGGTACATGCCTTTGACCGGAATCGAACCCGGGACCCCTCAGTCCCCAAGCCGACGCTCTATCCATTGAGCCAAACTGGTCTCGGCAACAACAACAGTTTTATCTCACACATTCACATACCTAAACAAGCTTTGCTCATTTTCGGAATTTATAAAAAAGAGTATCATGCTGCATGGGGTCTTTTTGAACATGTCTCTTTTCTATTGAACACGTGTCTCTCATGTGACCCAGCTTTTCTTTAAAAAGATACGGGAATTAAATATGCCCCCTCCCTGATGCTGTGGCTCAGCTTTGCTTAAAAAGACCTGGGGATTAAATATGGCCCCTCACTGCCTGGGTGGGAGGAGGAATGAACTGAACTTAAAAAAACTACCAGGAAGTAAATAATTATTTCTCTCAATTCATCATGTTGCGACAAGTGGCTGTGATGGATTCGTTTCTCACTGCTGTATAACAGAGTGTGTAAATACGCCACACTTTGGTTAGTCATTTTCCTGCCAAAGGACATTTGCCTCATTTCCAGTTATTTTTCTATGTCAAACAGTGCTGCTCTGAACATTCTCGTGTCTGTCTCCTGGGTATATAACCGAGGGATGTTTTGACACATGTGGTGTTAGATACAATATATTTTTTTAATTGTGTAGGTGCACACGCGTGTAACTGGAAAGTTCCTATTCACACCTTCCCCCTGTTTGTCCAGGGCTCTTCGGTGGGCCCATGCGTGGACCACTGCTAATCCATATGCTGTTTAATGGAGTCTGTCTCTTTAACAGCAATGCTGAGTCAGGTATAAGCCGAGCCTTTTTAGGAAAGGAATTTAAGTCTAAAGCAGAAGCCTTCTCTCCTCAGGCTCTCGGGGTAAGGCCTTTGAGCACAACTTGATGGCAGCCAGGGGGCCCAGGCAGTCTTTAATCTTTCTGAACAGCAGTATGCTGGGCCTGGCCTGCTCCACCTGACGTCACAGGCTCTTTGCTGGGAGGTGAATGGTTGTTTGACAGAAAAGGTTACAGGAGGTACAAATCCCTCCACCTGTGCCAAGAGCCTCTTGCAGGCCCTTCAGCTGCAGCTCCTTGCTCCACAATGGAGGATTGGAGAGCTCTAAAGAGTAGTGTCTCTGAAAAGCTGTGAGGCTCCCACTAAGACATTGAACCTCCTGGGCATCCCTCCTTTCAAGCAGTGATGTAAACAGGAAGCCAGGATTCCGTACATCAAAGAACTACAGGTGACAGAAGGTTCCAGCTCCCAGTCAGTGGTTTGCCCACTGTAGCCGGTCAGCCCAGACAGGGAGGCTGGGGTGGAGATGCCCACAGCATG